GCCCGCTCGTGGCCGTAAGGGAATGGGGCGGGGGGAGCGCAGCCCGGGCCGCACCGGAGAGAGCCGCCACACTTTGCCCCGCCCCCCCCACCTTTACAGGTTTGGCTCTGGAGGCCGGGAGGGAAGGAAGAAAAGGAAGACAGACAAAAAGATCAGCTGAAGAGTGACTTTTTTGGTGGTGGTGTTTCAGAAAAAAAAGCAGAGTCGCACGTGAGCAGCTGATTGTTCTTTTCAGGTATTGCATTACAGGTTTGGCTCTGGAGGCCGGGAGGGAAGGAAGAAAAGGAAGACAGACAAAAAGATCAGCTGAAGAGTGACTTTTTTGGTGGTGGTGTTTCAGAAAAAAAAGCAGAGTCGCACGTGAGCAGCTGATTGTTCTTTTCAGGTATTGCAGGAAGATGTGAAACGCATGCTACAAAAAAACTGAGCAAAAGGGAGAGCAGTTCACATAAATCAGTAACATTTCTGGACAGAAAGGCACCTAATGAGGCCGGGGAGCATTCTTCACTGCCGGTAACATAAGCGATAAGATATTGTACTACTCCTCCCCCTGCTCCCACCCAAGTACAAGAGAGTTTCTTTTGAAAAAAAAAGGTTATAAATGTGTAAGAGAATAGAAGTCTTTCCAGGTGGCAGGCATCCTTGGCTATGAAAATCCACATTTTTGAAATTGTGACACCAGTGAACTGTTTGAGAGGCTTAAGTATTTAGACAGAATTCTGAATTCTTGACTTACTAATATCTTTTTTGCATTATGTGCTGTAGCAGCAATAGAACATCAGGACTAATGCAGTTTGTCTTTTCTAATTCTAATCTTTTGCAAAAAATTAGTGATACAATAAAGCCTTCACAGAGATAATACTCAGTTTTTTTTAAAAAGTTTTTAAACGTAACTGAAAAGAGGAAAGTAAGCTCAACTATGAAAAGGAATACAATGGAAATAGGCTGGATGTAGGTGTAGACAGCCTCCAGTTCAGTGTTTCACTGAAAAGTCAAAGACTTGAACCACCTCAGTATTGTTTTCAGGAATGCTGGGACACCAAGTCACAAACCACTGACAGAGTTCCAAGACTGGGGAGAAGAGGGGGAAAATAGATACAAACGCATTTTATCTTCATACAGACACAGAGCATATTTTAGCCAGTCACATGCTACCAGAAAGCCAACATTCACTCATTCATACACACACACCTTAACAATACAATGCTGGTTTCTATTATCCACAATTCCTCATTGCAGAAAGGCATTTGACCTCTATTACCTGAAAAATTTACAGGATTAATTCTGGGAAATTATCAGAATGAGAAGTAGCAGCTTTTACTTAAGCATTATGACAAACTAGCTGAAATTGTCAAGTCAATCAGAACAAAATAGCATGTCAACCTAAGAATTGATGCAACCAGGTTTGAGAAGAATGAAGATATTTCTGTTGTTAGCATGGTAATTTTGGATGAAGTTTGGCTTTCTAGTGCTCCAGCTGTGTAGTTTAAGGTGGAGTAAATGGTATAACTGAATAATTTAGCTTGGTACATACCGATAGCACTGTTTCTATAAGAACTCGTCAGAGCTGGTAGTAGAAGTGATAAGGAATAACACAAAGTAGTCATGTCACAATGTCAGCGTTAAAATGCATAGGAGAAAGCCAATCTGTTGGCTATCTCAAATCAGATTCCCAGTTTCAACTATCACTAAAAATTAATGCACGGGAATTTCTCGGCTTTCCCAGTAAAGCAGTAACACAGTACAGCAGGTTGTCCTTTCCAGAAAGTGGAAAAGACTCATTGTAAACTGGGGGGGGAGCACTGTCATAGTACCTCCAAGATTTGGCTTCCCATTGTTCCTAAGCCAAAGAATTTCCATAGGACTGATCTTGTGTTCCTATAAAGCCTACGTCAACATGGGCACCCCTCAGTTGGGGCTTCAAAGTAACACTGCAATGTACGTGGATTATTCGGATACCTTACTTTTGTTGAATGAATACCCTGTAGAGATCATGATGGCATTTAGAAAAAGAAACTTCTCTTTACCTGTTAAGGAACTGCTTAGAGAAGCTAAAGAGATGTTTTTAAAGTGATACCAATGAACATTAGCAACTTTTATCTAAACTGACATGCACTCCAGAACATGATCAGCCACATGCACTTCTGAAGACGGTAGTCTAATAGTTGGGAAGCACTATTATTATGTCCTCCCAAGTACTATTTAAACATTTTTCCTGAGGGAGAAAAAAGTAACAATGCCCCCCCCCCCCAGCTACTCTACGTCACAGTAGATTTGCCACACATCAAGGAGTTTTGCTTTACTATCCAGTTGAAGGATAACCACCAGATTAGGAGAATTATTAAAAAAAGCCCAAATTATTTACATACAGTGAAGATCAATACAGATTTGGATTATGGCAAGTTTAAGAAAATAATGGGGAAGTTAACTTTTCCTTCCATTAAACACTGCAAGTGTATTCTTCTAGCTTCACCTCATTCTCACTCCACCTTATTAGGGAATCTTAGTATTAAACTAACATGGTTATTCTCACCTCGCACTGGTGATGCGTATTAAGGGAATTCTTAAAAATGCACACTATTTTATTGAACGTAAACTTTTGTAAGTTAGCCAAGCAAGTGTGCGCCTTCCCCCATTCTGACCCTTTACAGGGCAAGAATCAGAATTCAGCAGAGATGCTAGGGATTTTGAACACCATGGAGGAGATGGACATACCTACTTTCAAAGTTTTTCTTTAAAAACCATCTATTTTGTACTAGTTATGAGGGGAGATTCATATTTTGTGTCTTTGGAAAGGGAGCTTCTTTTAGCCAAAAAGGTGTGCCTAGAATGTGGATCAAGACTTTAATCTCAAAAAGAAGCAATAAATGAAGTTATAGAAGCAAGAGTTATATAAAAAAAATTCAATGGCTACACAGATCAAGTAAAATACTCTGAAAAAATGACACCAGATATTAATAACTACTGAATCAAATCACTGAATTATTTAAGTGAAAATTTTGTTAAAACATTTATTGTCTGTAGAAACAAAATTTACATTGATTTTATATAAACTATGTTAAACATACATATAAACATACCTACATCTTAATATATTCTTATGAATGAGGCTTTTAGGTATGGGATAACATTGTCAAAAGCACTGTTGTGAACTCCAGAGACTACAGACTTAAAATGTGTTTGCATTTAACTCCATCTTCAGTAGTTTAAAAATGTCATTTCTAATGTAATTATTTGTAACTGTGGATAGAAGGTTTCTAATGTTGTGTTTGCATGTGTACATACATGTGCACATACACACATTAGATGGTCCTTGTGAAACTGCAGTATAAATAAGGTCAACATTAATATATTCCTTAGAAGTGGACATTAGTCCACATCCTCATTCAACTGGGGGGGGAAGTCCTGCTATTCTTAAAACAAAACAATGAGGCTTTTTTATTCCATGAAGAGTGTACTCGAACAACAACTGTTTCCACCCTGTCTCTTCCCTCAAAAATAAAGACATAAGAGAAGCCAGTCACAAAATAAAAGCCACCTACTACATTTTCAGTAAATGAAATATTAAAGAGACAACATGAGATTTAGACTGCTTAGACAAAATTCAGAGCAATGAACAGCGAACAGAAGAAAACTATTAAAGTGGCAGGCAGCACAGAGCTATTAAACCACATGGCTAAATACCTACTCAAAAACCCCTCCAACAACAAAAACCATCAGGCACAGAAGGAAGGGGCAGGTGTTATGACAATCATTTTCTCTGATATTAACACTGAAAATTTACGCTCACCAAGCTTGAAACAGAACACACTTAAATGTTCATCACTGTCCTTAAGGTCTATTAAGGAGTCAAGTGTTACAAGTAGGCTTTCAAGGATCTTGAAATGGCTTTTATTTTTTTTCTCCTTTGTAAGGAGGCTGAAGAACCTCCTATCTTCAAATCCTGCAGCAATGGAATGAAGTCTACCAAGGGCCAGAGTTATGTGCAGAAACATCTTTTTTTTTTTTCCCAGATTCATGAAGATGCAAGTCTGAAGTCTTTCTTTTAGAGAGGTCTCCCGTAGAGAACTTTGTAGATGGCTGTTCAGATGCTTAAAGAAAGGCAAGAGGTGTGTTTCTACACAGCATGGGAACAGATCCCTTCAGAAAGCAAGGAAGTTAGAGATCTCCCTCTATATACAGTCTTCTAAGGTGAATACTGAGAAATCAAGTCTCTCTTTGCTATAACCTTTAATCGTCTTCTCCAAGCAACTCTCACTATCCAAGACATGGCAGAAAATTACTTTCCAATGCATAACAAGCAAGTTTTGAGAACCCTGCTTTTTTAATGCCACAAATGTGTAGCCTTGGTTTTTAAGCAACTAAGTTCATATAAAGAAAATTCAGCATTTCACCCTGAGGCCCTGGGAGAGAAGGCAGCAGGTAAACCGTTATCGCAACTGGCAATCAGCTGAATTTACTCCCATCCTCTGCTATCAGTTACCTGAGTTAAGACAATTATGTCCAGGTCTCGAGACCATCTAAATCCATCAGGTAAGGTGATTTTAAACATCTAAGTGATTATTAGAGTTAAGGCAGGCTTGTAGAAGCCTTGCAATGTGTTGCTTCTTACTAGCCCCAGAATTTTGTTAACCTCGTGAACTCAATCATCACAAAGTTTAAAATGAGGATTCTGACCAATCTATGTAGAGATTAAATGGATCAGCAATATAAATGTTAACATAACATTTTATTATTTCAGACACTTAATAAGGAAGACTCTAGTCATATTAAACCCATTGCATTTTGGATAGCAATTAAAAAATTCATATGTGAACAACTGAGAATATGACATGAGCATTTAACAGTCATATCAAGTCAACCAAAAGAAAGGCAATTCACATTTACATTTTCAAAGTATAAAACAGAAAGCTAGAAAGCTCTTAGACAATCACATTTCAGACACTTAATAAGGAAGACTCTAGTCATATTAAACCCATTGCATTTTGGATAGCAATTAAAAAATTCATATGTGAACAACTGAGAATATGACATGAGCATTTAACAGTCATATCAAGTCAACCAAAAGAAAGGCAATTCACATTTACATTTTCAAAGTATAAAACAGAAAGCTAGAAAGCTCTTAGACAATCACATTTTTAACTTGCCCTTCCAATGCAAATGCAGTGACAGACTTTACTAATACAACAGACACCGTTTTCCTTCTGAGGCTGAGCTTTACACACGTATTTAAAGTAAGTGGTTATTTTAACAACCGTTACCAGTCCACGCTCCCATTAGAAACAATGCAATAATCAGGATATTACTTAAGTCTTTGTACAGGTGTTTTCTACAATGCAGTCACAATACAGAAAGGCACCAAGTTATTCAAGTAAATTGACCTTTCTTCCACCTAACACCTTTTCTTGTGCCTTCACAACCCAATCAGTAACTTCAATACATTGTTCTCAGCCAAACATTATATTCCAATACAACAGAACTTTTCTGTGCTAAAAGAATAAATAAGCTCATTTGTGTATGAGTATATAGACACAAGTCTCTGTAATTCAAAGATAAATATACATAGTAATGTCTCACACCAGATAACACCACAGAGTAGATGCCTCTAGCACCTAACCCCGTCACAGAATTCGATTTCTGTAGGAACTTTATAAAATATAGGAAGTTTTATCATGACAGAATCCCAAATTAATGAAGTAAAGTTATCGGTAAAGAATGCGATTTGAGCAAATGGTATCACCTTAAATAAAAGCTAAAGCAACTGAAACAATGACTACATTTCACCATACAACATTCGTTTTGGGATCAAGGATGGGCAAGGGGAAAAATAAAAAAATATCAAAGTCAGTAGACATGCCCAAAACCCCCTTGTTTGTAATATGTGGCTCACAGTTGTAAAAATAAAAACCAAAGCTAAACTGTTAAAGTACAAAACAAATTGGAGATACCTAGTCATGCACAGGTAAAACATGAAAGCACAAAAATCAGAGGAGCCCGTCACACTTTTAAACCTGGTTAAAGCAGCATTAACTGACTGAAGTCTGATTACTTCAGCATTGCTTCCAAACAGCGTTAGCAAAACTGCCATGTCAGAAGTTTCTTCATGTATCCACTTTTCCCATTTGATCTACAACGAGTTCTCTTCCAGGCTTTAATAACAACACTGCAGGAAGCTTACAGAAACAGTAGTATCCTGTTGAATAAGACAATATAGCTTCAGTAGTTTGTCCTATATCATACATGGTTTCACTTCTTACATGTTTTACAGTGCTTTAGCACATTCAGGAGCAGTGTGAATAGCTTGTCGGCTAGAAGGTAAACCTGCCCTCATCTGCAGGGTACATGGTGCACTCCCCTGCCAGCAGGCTGCTCAACTGCAGCTACTCCACACTTGCTTAGGGTGACTCACTTAACCCATTGTTTCAATTCCTTATTTTCATCTCCCAGTAAATCTACACAGGATGATTTTGCCAGATTCATCACTGACAGTGTAAGTAAGTAACATTTTCTTATCTGCAGAAAGTTGCCTGCCTCTATTTGACCAGGGAATTCCCTTCCTTTCGCTTCCCATTTTGTGTATGCACATCAAAGTTACTGAAAAACTAGATGAATCATTAATGGTTGTTATTTAAACTGAAAACTTGGGGTTTAGAAACAAATCATCTGGTGTTATTGTTGAACGACCATAACATGAATGAATGTGGCACACTTCCTGCCTGCTTATTCCCTATGAACACTAAGCAGTACACCCCATGAACTGAAGATTTTTAGTGACATTATTTGAGCTGTTCTGAGCCATACCTACACTTTCAAATAGTCTCTCTACTGAAGGCATTGTGGAAAAAACATGACAAAAAAGCATGCAGAAATCACATCCTGACTTTCCACCCAAAAACCAGATTTCCTTTTCTCTGAACACACCTCTACCCAATACTAGAATTCTGATCTACTATCCACAACAGAGACCAGCCTGCATTCTATATGGCTAACGCTGTCTTGGAAATGATGGAAGTACAATAGCCTGCATATATTATGGATATGGTGAACAGCTTTTTTCTTAAATAAGAACATCTCTGAAAACTACTTGCTATGCATCTTTAATTTACCGGCAATAAAAAGTCCGAACAAATCTGTAATACATACACACAACCCTATCGTATATTACGTATTAAGGCAAAGGCTATAAACAGGAGATAAGCATAATATTGTTTAGAGCTGCTTATAAAACATGTCTGGCTATTTGAGTTTTGCACACAGCATAACAATATTGCAGTACAGTAAGCTTCAGGGAATTACTGGGATTTTGAACAAAACTACAAGCTATCTGCATTTAAAGCAGTTTCAATTATGAACAGCTTTGTTAGAAGACATGCTTATAAAAACTTACGTTTTTTGTTTTTCTTGTAATTAAATACTTCAGGCCCCAATTTCAGAATCCAGGAAATCACCAAATCATTTATGATGAAAAAGATTAGAGAACATGTGGCTCGGTCAAGAATGTCATACACCAAAATATAATGAGACAGAATAATTTTGAATACAGACCAACTAATCCTCTAACAAACCCAAGCATGCTTTCAGTGCAGTTATAAGCTACTGCTACAGTACATTACATACCTGCCTGCTACCATTCATTTTAATCAAATACTGAAAGTTGTCCCAACTTTCTAACAATTTACAAATGTATATACACATCAGAAACCCAAGTATATTATCAAACTAAAATAAAAGTAATACAAAATACTGTTTTACGGAAATGACTGAACAGAGGTGTAAGATCTATTGCACAACCTAAAAGGTCATTACTTGGAAAATCCTGAGCTAATGTGCTATTACCAAACAATTCAGGCACTTTTTTTTTCCTTTTTTTTATTACATAAGCAATAAACTTTCAACATACAAACCTCTGGGTATAACAACTCAAGTTCCATCTGTAACATCATGCTTCAAGAAAAAGTATTCAATAAATAAGACTCCCTTCAATGACTTCTTTACTTGAGACTGGTATGCAAAAGGAACTAAAGGTACATACTACAATGTTTCAATGGAATACTGTACTTTAAAAGCAATTATTAAAACTGTAAAAAAGTTCTGCAGCATTCCACTACTGAAAAATAAAGTTATTTTTAATCAAGAAAGTTACAGGGTTAGTTCCTTTATCCTATTTTAAGTCTTGACAAAGTTGTGAAAAAAATGAACAGATGCTCCCTTTGCTGTGTTAGCTGTTTCAACTTCAGGATCACAGCTCAGTTCAGGTTTCTGCTGCAGTATTTAAATTTCCCTAGAGAGAGAAAAAAAATCGTTGCTGTCAAGTCGTAACAGTGGAAAAAAGCCTCCCAACTTTCATAAGTACTGTATTATTATAGTATGTAACATGCAAGATTCTTTCAATTATGGATTGAAACAGCACAACTGTAGACTGTATCTTAAAGGATGCATATGCATAATTATTTCAAAAGGGTGAAATAAAGACGTTCAGACCAGTTTAAACTTGTCCTTGAGATTTGTTAATCATTACAACAGGCAAAACATGGAAAACACTAGAATCTGAGGAACAGTTTTGGTTTTTAATAATTAGCCAACCAGCAATCAGTATACTGTTAAGAAAATGGCTGTGTCATTCTTCAGGATTTATTTTACTTTAATTCAAAGTTACTCAAGTTCTTCATCGGGCCTAAAAATCAATATTCCAATCTTATTATGCTTCTCTAATTCAAATCATAATCTCCAGCAGCCAGACTGTGTTAAGCATGCTTTATAGGTTCCAGACAAGAACCTAATATCCAATTGTAGAAGAACATTGGAAATTATTGGGGAAAAGCTCACTACAACAAAATTATGGCACTTCTACACCCATTTTACAAGGTCATAATTTTTGGAAAAAATCCTTCTCCATCTATTTTCCACTAATTCCAACTCAATTCAGCCTTCAGAGATCATACTTCTCAGAGTCCATGCAAATGTAAAAGGCATTCACCAGTATACTTCAGTAACAAGTGACCCGTTTACCTTGTCCAAAGCGTTCAGCTTTCTTTGTGGGGGTTTCTTTGTGTGTGTTTTTGGTGGGGTTTTTTGGCATTTTGCTTTTTTCCCCCCCACTGGGCTGTAAACTGGAGATTTTTTGAAAACAGCTCTAAGAACCTATGCTTCTGTGCTCTAAGAACTGAACTCTAATCCAACTACAAATGCTTATGCAAGTGTATTTACTTACAGCTAGGTGGACACAGAATTACAAACCAAACAAGAATTCACACAGGAACACAACTGCAAGGGGCTGCATAGGTCGTCTAATCCAATTCTCCGGTGTCACGAGTAACCTCATACTACTTTGATCATACTTGATCAATTCTAATAAAGGATTTAGAATGTTTTAACTACTGATCCTCACAAAAGCTGTAACATTTTACATGGCTCAAAAGTTCTTCTGCAGTTCAAGATTATCGTTGTCCCATACACACTGCAAATCAAAAGGTATCATAGAACAGATGTGCCTAATTATTTCAGCTTGAGCTTATCAAACCATTTTACACAGACTTTATATAGTATAGGATGCTTTATTCAGATCAGCACTCCAGCATGTACTTTAAAGCACATGATTAATTGAAGGTAACATAACAAAGAGGAGAGGCCCACAGACTTAGTCAAAAACATTATTAATACCCTTCATGTTGATTTAAAACCGTAGCCTAAGAGGACATAATATTTTTACAGAGGGCCAATTTCTCTTCCTAACAATGGGAAGAGAGATCAACTGAGCTCGAGGAAAGAATACTGAAACAGAGGCAACTGCAGAATCTCAGAGGCCACCTCTGATTTGCAATTACCCAAAGCAAGTTTCAGCAAGTTTCAAGGGAATAAACATGGAGGAAACGGGAGTGCAGAATCAAGTTTTCCTGTAAAGTACGAAGAGCCAATATTCCAGAAAAACCCACCCAAGTTATTCCACAGGGATTTAAAAATTGGAATAGATCATATGAATATTCATATTTTATTAATGGCTTAGTGAAAAATAAATTAAGCCAACTTACCTTTTCCTTCCTCAAAAATCCATCTCTGAATTTATTAGTGGTAAATCCCCTTACACCAACAGAACGTAACCGCTGGTTTTAATTAGTAAAACCCCCTTACCCCAACATCACGTAACCGCTGGTACTTAGCCTGAATATATAAACCCTCTGTACTAAGCCTGATCTATAATGGGATTGCAAACGGCCATCTGCAAAGGTGCTCTGTAACGGGGGGGGGGGGGGGGTGGGGGGATGAGGGCACCAAAACTCAATAGTTTATATTTACAGTTATACACATCTAAAACTTACAGTACTGAACGACAGAAGTATGCATTTGCAAGTGCAGAGCCTCTTCCTTTATTTCCCATTTAATACTCCTCAGACCACTAGCTACCATGTGGCTCAAAGAACTGCTGTATTGTACTTACTGTTTAGAACATCTGAAGTTATCTTCCTCATAGAAAAAACTCAGTCTCTTGTGCAACATTTTAACATTTTTTTGAACTTCAGTGAAAGTAAACCAGCATCAACAAAAAAGTTTAAGACAACACCTCCCTGTTGCTAACAAATTCAGTGATGTCGGGCCTGCAGTGGGCACACGTGGCGAGTCTAAAAAAAGTCATACTAAACAGAAGTCAGTATATATATTTTTCCTATAGCTTTAAGATCTTACTGTCTGAACATACATTCATTGCTCTATGCCTTTGTTACCTCCAGATGGGAACACTGTAAACTAACCTAGTGTGGGACCAGGAGCAGAGGCCACAAAGATAACAAAAGGCTTACAGGTGAACGGCATTGTAAATACACAGAAAGACTATAGCAAGATCGACACCAACCACAGCAGTTACAGTTATAAAACGGTTTTCATTCCTAAGCACTCAGACCTCCAACCAAACAGGCAGTAAAAATCTTTAGAGTAAGAAAAAAACCATTTATCATAATTTCTCATTGTTTTCCAGTACTGCCATTTTAAGTTTTCGAACGTGGTCCTGACAGAAAGCATTCCTGTATATATTCATCCTTTAAATTTAAAGGTTTTCCCTCCCCCAAATTTAAAAAGTGGCTTTCCAGCTAAAAAAAAAAAAGAGGAAACATCCTGACCATATAAAATTCTTATAATCTTTTACAAACACCTTTAAAGGGTAAGAGAAAACAAAACGTATCACAGAAATAGACCTTCTTGAGCATGATCCAATTATTCTGCTGAAATCAGTCTCCTTTTGACAGAGTAAAGATCACTTCAAGAAAAAAAAAAATCACATGCTCCGAGGTTGCAACAATAAGTTTCGTACCAGTTTTTCCACTGTACTTTCCACTGTGTGGCTGGTGAACAGCTAAGAAAGGACTGTACAGAACAGAGGTTCCTTTATGCAAATGCAGAGGTTTGTTATTTCCCAAATCATTTCACCCACCCACTATGTAGGAGATAACTGGCCAGGAGAAGCTGGCCCATCAGTCCCCCACGGTTGCTCTTATGGAAGGCTATTAAATGCTAACCCCTTTCCTGAAAAGTATCAGAGTCCAGGCATAATAAAACTAAGTGGAAGTAAACTCTTTAAGTAGGTATATGCCTACCATAGGGAAAATTGAAGGGTATTTTTAATGCTGGATTAAGCCCCTGAACACAGTTAAGATTAAAAGCTCCCATTTCCCCCACAGCTGCTGTGGTTCTCTGCTTTGACAAGGTGGCTAGAAAGGAGGCCTTAGTGGTCTGCCACTGCATTGGTATGACAACAAGCAAAGGGGCAGACCGAGTAAGAGAGGAGAAAAAGGTACAAGATACTGAAAATGAGATTACACACAGTTTAAAAGTTTCAACTCAAGTATCTACCTGTTACGTAAGTGGGGAGGGAGGAGAATAGCAGTATTATTAATGTAGAACAGAATCAGCTGTAGACAGAGTTAACAGATCATATAGACATTTAGTATGTAGGCACTGCAGTCACACATAGCTTAGAGCAAAATGAGGTAGTCTAAGGTGCGTGGAAAACATCATTGACTTCTGGGCTAAAGTAAGAAAAAAATCTGCTAAGTTGACATCTAGTTTTACATTAAGACTATTTTATAAATAATGCTAATGACAATGCCTATGAACCAATGGCCTCAGGCTCTGAAATAAGTCTGTATGGGCAAATATATACCCTTGCACTGGGTCTGGCTGGGATGGAGTTAATTTTCTTCACAGCAGTCCGCATGGTGCTATATTTTGGATTTGTGACTAAAACAGCACTGGTAACACACCAGTGGTTTTTTGCTATTGCTGAGCAGCACCTGCACAGTGCCAAGGCTTTCTCTTTTCTCTTTTTCCCCGCTCTGCCCCCCAGTAAGTAGGCCGGGGGTGGGCAAGAAGCTGGGAGGGGACACGGCCAGGACAGCTGACCCAAGCTGAGCAAAGGGATATTCCGTGCCATATAACCTCCTGCTCAGCAATGCAAACTGAGGGGAGGGGGTTTTGGAGCAGGTAGCCGTTGCTTGGGGACCGGCTGGGCATCAGTCAGCTTGTGGGAGGTGGTGACTGACTGACTGCCTTTGCATTGCTTTTTTCCTTCCTCTTTCCTTCACTTCTTAAAGTGTCTTCATCTCAACCCATGAGTTTTCTCACTTTTGCTCTCTGTATTCTCCCTCCCATCCAGCTGGGGGAGGAGGGGAGCCGAGGGGAGAGCGGGCAAGCAGCTGTCTGGTGCTTAGCTGCTGGCTGGGGTGAACCCACCACAGCCATTAATACACTGAACTGTGTTACACAGTGAATGAAGTTCAGAACTAAAGATTACCATGCATGTACCCACTTAAAGGTTGGCTTACTGATTCATTGCAAAGTGTCATTACAAAAAAGACCTTTTAAATTTAAGATTTCTCCAGATCCTTTATAAAACTGCTGTTCTAAAATTTTTTTTTCCAAAAAGTTTAAGATACTGCAAGACCATATGATGTTGTGTTTTGGTTTTTTTTTTTTAAACATTCTAAGTAAACCCACTTTTTTGTTTAAGTTAAAATGGCCCCATTTTAAATAATCAGCCAAGAAAGCCTCCTGAGTGTAGAAGATAGTCAAATCACCTTTCTAAGTAGGTTTCAGCAGCAGCATGGGAAGGAAAAACCCTCTATGCTACACAGGAGGAAATTAAATGTAAAAAAAAAGTTGATAAAATTAAGTCAAATCAGCACTGCTGTTTCCATGGCAATGATACATGTGCTATACACATATGCAAACTGCAATACAAGTGCGTATGCTCTTTTCCCTACAAATATTAAAGCACCATGGAACAGATCATTGGATACAGCAATATTCAGGCAATATTCACATATACGTGCGATGACAACTTAAGTGGACACTTTCATGCTTGCATAATCTCCAGCAGAACTGTAGGCTGATGTAAATGAAGGCAGCCTTCCATTTTCTTTACACATCAACTACCAACACTGCCTCAATGATATGGCAGCCAGTGCTAAAGATCCCTCCATCCCCTATAGGCTGGCAATAGAGGGGATACCAATTAAGAGGCTATGATGTCCTTACATGTTAAAATAGTTGTATCAGGCTGACACTTTAAACTTGTTAACTTCAGCTTGGAAAAAGATTTTTTTTTAGCAGAATAAAGTTAGCATTTTTTGCTAGTGTTAGCTTAGCTATCTGATTAAGATTGACTGGCAAAGCACACCTAAATGGGATAAAAAGGCTTTCAGGCTCTCCAACAGTTCTCTTATGTTTAGTCTGAGGGGGGAGGAAAAAAAGAAATACAACAACAAACAAAAAAACCCTACACTTACACTGCCCCCCCTTTCAAAATTTCATCCAAAATGCCAGCTATTTAACTTAGTCATCAAAACTTTAGTTCAACTTCACTATCTACAAAACAGGAAAGATGACTACCTATTCTGTGTGTTATTTTACTCTTGAGAACACACCTGTTAAATGAGTAGGGGTAATTTTAAGGTTGAAAATGAGTGTAAGTTGTTCTATATTAGAAAAGTATTAATCAAATCTAAAGAGCTCTAACTGGATCCATGCATAGCATGCCACTGTCAGCAGAAAAGGAAGAAAGTGGTTTTTGTTATTCTGCTGAACCCATGATACATTTTACAATCAGAAGGCATTAGACAGCCACTGCACTACCCCAGGAAGAAGCACAGTTGCCTACCCCTTTACCACCTTGAGGCCCTGAGAATAAAGCTTCACAATTTTTAAAGCTTCACAATTTAATTTTTTTTTTTAAATGCATATATAGCAGCATGCAGGGTATACACAAGAGATCAGTTCCCCAGAAATCCCTATATGAAAGGGCTAATAAAAAAAAACAGTAACAATTTTGAAAGCAATACAATTCATGTCTCCCATTTCCCATTGGGAAATAGTTCAGGCTTCTGCACACATCAGGTGAAGGAAAGCAAGCTGGCTAGCTATTTTTTTGGATAGATGAGCTTTCTAGTCATTGTCTAATCTCTGCAATTCTCATTCTCAACTTTGCAGTTAACTTATTTCAACTGCACAGATACAATACTGGACAACTCTGCTCAATCCATTGCCAGCCCTCTTACCTCTCATTGGGAAATAGTTCAGGCTTCTGCACACATCAGGTGAAGGAAAGCAAGCTGGCTAGCTATTTTTTTGGATAGATGAGCTTTCTAGTCATTGTCTAATCTCTGCAATTCTCATTCTCAACTTTGCAGTTAACTTATTTCAACTGCACAGATACAATACTGGACAACTCTGCTCAATCCATTGCCAGCCCTCTTACCTACTAAAAGCTAAGCCTCCCATTATTTCAATGGGAACAGTTAGGCTATGATGACACTATTTTTCATGGCATTTAATACCTTCAAAAACATGTCTCCTGTTACTGAACTCAACAGGATCAAATCACTATTTTACGTAACATACATCTGACAAAAGCTGATCTGTACCTTAAAGTGTCTTCTGATGGGTCCTGCATTTTCAAGGTGTCCTCTAATGCGTCTGTGAGGGTAAGTGTCACTTGGTTTTGAAGAATAGTAAGAATTCTAGCAGGAAAACAGAGTTATTAGCTTAACGTTACTAAATTATTCAAGAAAACATTCAAGGTTTCCAGGTTATACTAATAAATATTGCAACTCTTTCAATCTTGTAGCATTTGACACAACGACACTGTTTGAAGGAACCAAAGTAGCAGGAGCACAGGGCCTGGAGTCCAGGCTGGCTGAAGTGATGGCAGAGCCCACCATCCTACTGGAATATCATCCTCTTGGAGAAATCTAAGCAGGTAACAACCCAATTAAGGTTCTCCGCCCCTGCCCCCCCAGAACAGATGCGTCAATTTGCATGCAGCAAGTGTAGCAGACAGGCTGCCATAGCAGTCATCCCTTGAGTCAGGAATAAGGGCAACAAGATTAGTACTCTGGACATCCCTGGTTAGCATATGGTCATCATAGGTTAGCATATTTTAGAGCAGACACATGCACTGTTACTATACACAGCACCACAGCAACCAGACAATCAATGTGTAGCATGTTATGTTGGTCTTTAGAAGATTCTACTTTAACTCTCTATTACAGGAGAGCATTTTGAAAATTACTTGCCTGCCACAGAAACACACGATTTCAAAAGCAAGTCACACAGACAAGTGGTACTGAAATTGTTGTGTCAACACACTGAACAGCTGCAAACAGCCATGGTTGCCTAGAACAGAGTACTCCCTCCAGCCACTGTCCTACCTGTGTATTTTAGCCCTTTTCCAATTTTTCCCATGACAGCTACCTCAAGAGGATGCACACAGCTAAAATATCACTATTCCATCATTGCATACGATTATAAATATTTACAGAAGCATTACATACTGGCATATACTACGTTAAAGTCACCTAATCCAGACAGAATGGACTTGCTAATGAACTCTTAACAATCAAATTAATTTTTTTTTTATGGCCCATTCTTGAATAAGCACAAAAGCATTCCAATGCTGTTGAACTCTGTTTTTTCAAATAAAATTTTAAAAGCTTCAAATACATTTTAAAAAGAGCCTAAGAGAACTCTCATGAAATATTTCATATACACTAATATCTAATGATAAATGCAAATGTATGTTTTGCTGTTTACAGAATTTCTGTTCTCTAACAAAGTACCAAACCTTTCCAGTGGCAGAAACACTTTAGGATATGTTTTCTAACACTGTTACTAATTGGGGGCTGGGGGCGGGGGTGGCAGTGCTATCAACGCAACAGAACAGTGTTAGAATCCTGGTTAGCTTTTAACAAGGATTTAAGCTAGCTTTTTTTTTTGAGAATATATTACTGCCTACAAGTCAACTATTTAGCTTCTTAAAATGCCTTGACAAAAGGGGATTCAGCAGAGAACAAAAAGAGAGGAAGAAAGACTTTATGAAGGGATATCAAAGTAGTCAAAATGGCTTTTCCAAGAAAAAAAGGTATGGAAAACTAAATACACAGAGGAAAAAGCATGTCAGGAACTTCCCAGCCCCCTTCTTATTCTAAGAATATGAAGATACTCCATGAAATCAAATCAACTGTCTCCATACAACACACAATTAAATCAGGAAGCTCCCTGTTGAAGTACACTCCTCCTTAAAGCTGAGAATTCAGCAAGATGAAAAAATTCAAGAAAATTTCCTGTTATAGTTAAAAATAAGCCTTTGGGAATTAAAAGAAAGCTTGTCTCAACTAACTGTGGATACACCCTTCCACATCCCCACCTCCCTCAAGATTCAAGTACATTCATGGAAACAAAAACATTAGAACTACTTAATGCAAAGACACAGCAATCTATTCTTCAGGAACTTCCTAAACCATAGGTTTTAAATGAAAAAAAAAAATAAATGGGGAAGTACAACTAGATACTTGTTCTGATCTTCTACTCTTTAGCTGTCCTCTTTTTGTCAATAGGGTACAAGGCTAGGTGGACATTTCTTACAATCAAGGCTAGATAGACATTTGCACCTTTCAAGGCACAAGTTCTTCTCAAGTTTAAACTCAACCCCCAATTATTGAATATTAACACAAGAAACACTCCCCTTCACTGGCCTGCTGTAAAGCTTGCTCATACCTTGCACTGAAAAGTTCACATTGGTTGACCATGGGATACCAAAAGTAGGCCAACCAAGTCAATACCATTTCCATGTTTAATTTTAACCCAAATGACTAATACCGTCCATGTAACAAGAGAGCAAAAAGTGGTGTTAATATCACATTTTGATAGTTTACTGTAAGGACATTTTAATATGACAACACATTATCTGTTTTCACATTAGGCAACATCCTAGCATCAAATATGATCTACTGATCAGGCTTTCAGTTTTCAAGCATCCATCTTTTACCAATGCTGCCACACACAGCTCCTCAAGCAATAGTGATAAAAACCACAATGAAATTTTACTAACAAAGATGAAAATGTTTAAATATTTATCCAATACATCAAATTTTTTAAATCCTGTGTTATAATTTAAGGTGCTGCAGTGGTTTTCCTGTCAAATACTCTTTTTTAAAGTCATTTTTGCCATATTTTCTGAGCTTTGGCACTGTTATGCTTGTCATTTGAAACCTGGCACTCTGATGTACTTTTCTCTCAATATTTACCTGTAGAAAAGAGCAAACAAACCTGAGACCAGTGTTGAAGGTTACAGTTTTTGTTTTGGATTTCCAAGGGTTTGCTTTTAAGATTACAGGTGGAACTCTCCTCAACAAAAGTGGTAAGAGATGTCTATTGCGGACTTTTTCATGCATTTTCCCACACCTTTACAATTTTGCTGATACAATGTGCTATTGCTACATCTCTTCTGCAGCCTAAAACAGTTTCCCACAAGAACTGGAGAGCTCTGCTTGGACTGTGAAACCAACTGAACCAGTATCTACCTAAGAATCTGTAAGATGGAGCAAAACCACAAAAAGTTACTTTCTTATTCAACAACTATTACCTTAGCTCTTGCTTATGTTTCAAACTCTTCCTCAGTTTTTCCATGTATTGCTGTACTCCAGTAATATATCCTTCATTTTAGGATGTTTTCTATTTAAAAAGGTACGGTGGACCCAGGGTCAATGTTCTGGTGATCCATCAAACCACTTCTTAAGTTGTTCTCTGAACACTGCCCTTTAGTCGTGGTTCTTACGCTTTTCAAGGTGCCCAGCAGTGTTCACACCTGAACCATACCATTCTGATGCAAGACTCTGAATGGCAAATTCCAAACATTTGTCCTCTTGCAGAAAGCAGCTACAAATGGCCTTTACCGTCATTCATTTTTGTTTTTCTAAGGCTGCTTTCAACTCTACTGTTACACTTCCAAAGTAGTAGTGAGTACAAACTAATGTTACACTTCCAAAGTAGTAGTGAGTACAGTCACGCAGCTCTGAATTTATTACAGAAAACCTACTCATCACAGAAATGATACACGTGGCTGAAATTACAGTTGGCTGCTTGGATGCCACTCCACTTAACTCCCACAACAAATACTAAAGCAGTGCTAGCAGCTTACACACATGGAGATCAAGCTTGAGCTACTGCCCACCAGGATAAGCTCTTCTCCAGTCGCACCCAGTCCTGAAGAATTCCTTTAAGGAAAGCCATTCTGAGCACCATACATTCTCACACAACATGTCTAGATGTCACGGGAAATGCCACACTACTGGAGCTAGCTTATTCAGCTGAATTATTTGTACTGCCTCAGATAGGAGTTAGCTGTATTAGTGATCTGCTCTGCCCAGGAAAAAGATTACCCTCTTTCTGCATTACTTTACATATTGAGCATTAGACATACTAGATAAACAGGAAAACAGACAAGGGGAGCAGAATAAGAATCAAAAGGCAAGAACAGAAACACAAAACCAGAAGAGGAGATGCAATTAAAGTGCCAATTAATGTATTGTGGACACATTTGCAAAATGTCTGTAAGCCCTCCAAGCCAGTTGGTGAGCATTGATTAATTCTATTTTTACTGACAAATGTGGATGGCAAACTAAAGTATTTTATCTTCCCACTTGTCTGCAAACCAGCTTCTGCATGGCTGACTTCATGGAGAGTCATTCCTTCTTTAGGATGCCTTGCATTTGTAATACTCGTGCTTCCATAGCTACTGTTGTTCTGAATGGATAACATCTCACTGCAGTGCAGGGCTTTAAAAACTGCATGTTTGCAATTCGCTTTTGGATATCAAAATGCAGTCTTTCTGAGTCTTCAGCACATCTAAGAGTAACTCAGTTTCTATTTCAGACTAACTCCCTTTTTATTTGCAATTACTATATTATTTAATGAGCAATTACTACTTGTTTTTGGGGACTTCAATTTTAGTCTTAAGTAATATTTTTTACCATTAAAAACTTGTGTTCTTTTACACTGAAAGACGCACTGTTATATCTGCAAGGCAGCTACATTTCAGTGATGGTCAGAACTTTGACTAAATAAAAGCTACTTTTGGTGGACCTCAAAAGTTTCATGGTCTTTTGGAACCCTGTCCCTAGGGTATTAATTACAACATATAAAGAATGACAACTTACATTAGACTCCTCCTTATTTTGCACCCACCAGGAAGAAGGAAAAAAAAAAAGATGTTTTAGAATTATACTGCACACATTAATAAAGCTTTTCTGGTCTCACCAGTTCCCCAAGTTAAACAAGCACAAGCACTTGGAAATAAGACTACATTTATTTAGAAGGAATTTTCCAGAAGAGACAAATTTATTTCTACTGAACCTAATATAACTGTCTTCCCCATTTCAGTATTAAAGGACATCACAGAAAGATAGCCTAAAAAAGAATAAGTGCCCAAACTATCTTTGATAAAAGCAATACCAACACAGATAAGCTATTCCACTGTGTAATATTCCATCCTCAGGAACATTATTTCAGACATTTCTAATTATTTCTGTGATTTGTTCCTCAGTTTTATTTGTTTTTAAATTAAGAGCTTCCCAGAACTTTTATCATAATGGGGAGAAACACTGTTTTAGTAACAATGCCACCTAAACAAGATTCAGATGCTCCCTTCCAACCGCTGACAACTAGAATGCAGAAGAGTATTCTTTTTCCTCAAACTCTTCCACATTACCTCAGGTTTCTGCTCAATAACAAGGCCTTCTAATTTATAGTTTAGGTAGTACATCATTAAGTGGAAGAAATGTAGTATTACGTACAAATTTCTTTTACAAAGCTACAAGCAGTATGAGTTTTTATTTCATAAAGCCCCTTAAATAATTTCAGTAAGTAATTTTGAACCTAAAATTTAGTTCAACAGTTTAGTTTGACCTGTTCCTGCTATTCAATAAGAGATCTAAAGTTGACCACCTTATTTCCGGACTAGCTGAAAAAGTGTTTTGATTTCAACCAACATACCGATCTAAACTAGCTTTCTGAAACAACAGATCTCCGGCCCACTTGCTGCTAGGTTATAAAAAAATAGTAGCAAAGTTGTTATGGAGTACTGCACAGGCATGCAATAGCAAAAGAATTATTTTTGTTGTATCAGCATTTGGCCACAAAAGCGGTTTTAGCTCACGTGTATTAATCTATGCTTCAACAAATATCTGAGGAAGTACAGCACTAGAACTGTGAAGTTACGAGCAGTTTTATTGTTGAGCAAAGTCTGAAGATAATAAAGCCTCACTTGAAATTTAAAAGGGCAAGACATCACAGATTGTTAAATTTACATCAGCATAGACAACGCAGCATAAAATGAATTGTAAGAACAACAATGCAGAAGCTACTAATTCAACATTTAGGCTTACCAGGTGAGGTTTCCCAATAAATTTCCTGAAAGGTGGCTTAATGAACCTCATAGGCTTTTGGAAGCCATCAATTTGAGAGTTTTGTAATTTTGAAAGACTGCAGCTTTGCTGGTTCCTGATGTGTATGTGAGAGAGAGAGAGAGAGAACAATTAAAATCTAAAGCCATAGCATATCAAACCCCCTGTATTTTAAATGACCTTAGTCTAGCATCTGTATCACTTAGAAGTGCAAAGTGACAGTTTTAAAGTAATTTTTTTCTAGGACATTCAACAAATTACTAGTCCTCTGACTAAACTCAAGCCCAAGTTGCACAGAATTATATAGTAAACTGTATTCTCTTATGCCATGACAAATTAAGAGAGATACTCTGCCTTCCTGAAATCCTTGCTATGCAAATCAGGTTTCCCTGGCTCACCCCGCTAGGCCTGCATGGCTGGTCATTGCTGCCCTCCACTGGTTGAAATGCTTTCTGCATTTCAGCAGTTCTACACTGTACTATCTTTAAAGTTGTACAGAACTTTCCATTTTATGAAATCCCAAATCCGACAGAAGCTCAGATAAATAGCTAATGCTCCAGTTTCGTTCTCAGCAAGCAGGGTGTTCTGGCTTTGGGCTTTTGCTTGCTTTTTTTTTTTTAACCGAGCACACTGCTAATACAGATGTGTCCATAAACCTCTAAATAAAACATATACCATGAAAAGTAACCACCAGAAGTCAAAATTCATAGTTCACGAAACATACAGAAACACTTTTCATAGCTGCAAAATAAATTACTGAGGCAAAAACAGAGGCACACTGGACTAGCTCATAGGCATTGCCAGTATCTCACGTGTGAGCTATTAAAACCCCCCGATCTCAGGAAAATTCTGCCCATCGTTCATACCAGTACTGCCCTCAGCCTGCATTACATTGTCCACATTACTCTGACAGCATAACCCCTCCTCACGTCGAACTCCAGGATAGTCATGCTTACTAGAGAAACTTGTGCTTCCTGCTTTGAGTGGCATACACAAAAGGTAAGAAGGTAAGCAAGACAGTAACTCTGGAAGTGGCAAAAAAAAAGCCTTACCAGATAATCAGGCCAAACATACACTAAAGACATAGCCCCAGGTACATAAAAGGCTATATGCAACAGTCCAATTTCCACCCCCACCCCCTGCCACTTGGTAACTTTTACTTTTTGTTCAAAGAATCTCAAATACAAGAAATATTTCTTCTGCAGCTTCACAAGTCAGTTTTCCCAAATATGCGTATTGCCACCATTTGCCATTATAGACTGCATTTAAAATGAACAAACAGCAGCATATTAAGAGCGATCTGCAAGTCATGACTACAGCGTAGAAACATTTCATTAGACTCTGGCAATTCTTTAACCAACTTTTCTTCTAACACAAGTAAGTCAAGTCATCTCTCTGTAATCAGCCAACCTCCCAACATCAAAAGTGAAACAGGATGACTGAGGTTAGCAAACACCTTTGAGGCAAACACCCTTAACAAACCTGTTGGGAGGAATTCATAGCAGTAAAAAGCTATTCCAAAAATCTAGCTTTTCTTCATAAAATTCTCCAAGAACCAGAAAAATTCCAGTACTTTGTTGATATTCCACATGACATTACAAAACAACCAGGGCAACACAACAATGTATTCATCCTAGAATGCTTTTATGAAACTACAAAATACCAAGAGAATGTTATGTGGCACATCAAGGAGTTTAAAAATAGTTAAGCATCTTTAAACTCATTTCTTCCCCTCTTGCCATTCAGTGCTACAGCTTGAGCTTGCTTTTCATTTTTTCCCACTGCAGCTTAACCTCTTTCAAGGTAACCCTCCATTACAGAGTAGGTTGCAATGTATGTCAGTTGAATTTCAGTCCGAGTCAAACTTACAAGGACAAACTATGGAAAAGAATCACAAGTGTGAACGTAACTGCGGAAGAGTCAAAAAAAAAACAGCTTAACCTCTTTCAAGGTAACCCTCCATTACAGAGTAGGTTGCAATGTATGTCAGTTGAATTTCAGTCCGAGTCAAACTTACAAGGACAAACTATGGAAAAGAATCACAACAAGTGTGAACGTAACTGCGGAAGAGTCAAAAAAAAAATGAATGTGTAAGAGAACTACAAGCTTGGGCTAACAAGATTGTTATTTGCTAATTACCTTGGAGTTACACCATCTACATGAAACACTCTCTCATCTTCATTCTTCAATCTCTCTTTTCTTCTCCTTTCTATATCATGCCGTAGATCATTTGGATCTTCTAACACTCTTATAATGTTCTAGTTAAGAGGAAGGGTTAAAGTCAAGTTAGCTACTAATAACTAAACACTGATGTGATTCTGTCCTTTAGGGATTGCATCCTGTATATCGTCTTGTTAATGTAGTTCAACTGACTGCACGTAGGACGGATTCACATCAACCCAAGGATCCAAAGTCCAAAACAATAACAGAAGTAGTCCTAAACAATCACCCTTTCTTGAACCATCTGCCTTTTTACAAGTTTCCAAACAACAGTGAACAGAGCACTGGAATTCTGCATGGAGTTGCCAAGGCAAAAACATTCACATAAATTCCAGTAAATCTTAATTAAGAATAGTAGAACTTCTTAAGTTGAATCTCCACATACCTGTACTATAGAAAAAAATGGTAACTAAATCACAGTAAGCATAGCTTGAAAGGGGAAGACAGAAAAATCTTATGTCCCTGGATGAAAGCATGGGATAAAATAGCATTCTGAGGAATTATGTGGATGTCGGGCCATTCTAACATTAGCGTAGAAGAAACATTAAGGCTTTTTCTAATCTCAGGGGGAAAGCAAGAGCCACATGTCAGTCACCTACTTAGTATTTACACTATTTAAAAACAGACAGGAGTTCAAGCAGCAGGAATAACCACACTCCAGCTACTCTGGAGAACGCACCTGCATTTTACTCATCGGTGAACACAGCCTACTTGCACCATTGTGGTATCTGTAAATATGTTCAAGCGTGCATTTCTTTCAAAATAATCAGAACTACTGATAGTCTTTCAAAGCATGTAAAAGTGACTTAACAATAGCAAGGGGAAAATGTTGTTTACATCTATATCATTTGAACTTACTGTTTGCCAAAAAAGTTAAGTAATCAAGATACCTGGGGAGATTCAGATGGCATGGTTCGTTTGTTCTGAAGTTCTGCTAGAGACATGTCAATCCTCCTGGAACACAAAAATATTACATGAAAACAAGCACCATCACTATAAATAGCAAAGCATTATTGACCAACTACAGAATTCTTTGCAGACCATGGGCAGGTAGTTTAGAGTCAGTGAAGAAACACTTTACATTGTGTAAAGTCTCCTGAAGATTAACAACCTTAATGCAAATAAATTAAGGCAAAAGGCACATCAATTACCTGTGAATTTCTGGATCCAAACGTATTTTAACTTCATTCATATTTGCAACTGGTTTATCCTGAATTTTTGAGAACCGTTCATGCAGAGTTATGTCAGAAGATGTAAAATAATTTGCTATGAAAAGATATTAAATACAAGAATGTTTATTTGTAGTATTTGAAATGCACAGTGGGAAATTGTATCTTTTAAAAGTTTAACTCTTAAGGACACCAAGACAACTTCCGAGATTAAATTTCAAACTATTTCCACTTGCAGTTTAACATTCACAAATGACAGATTAGGCCAGCCCAACTTAGACACCCTTCTTAAATAAGAAGATTAAGCTGAACAGAAAGTTAACTATTTGTCAGCTCTATCATGGTAGTACTCAAATGACTAGAATCTATAAATAAAGTTCATCACCGAACATGATGCAGCAGTCTAAACACTAATCTGAAAAGTAAAAGGAAGTGTACATAACTAGGAAGTTGCGACTACAGCAAAGCTCCTTTTCTCTTTTCTTGTTCCTAAACAAGCAGGTTAGTCTTAACTATAAAATCCTTTCGACCTTAACGCTCCACAATAATGCCTCTATTACGGACTGAGGCCTTCTTACAATCATTCTCCACCCAACTACTCTTAAATCCTCAACCTACATTTTCCTTAAACAATACAGAATGAAGCCAAAAGGCAAACACCTGAGATTTACAAGGACAGCGTATCTAATTCATTAGATTTGATTTTAATAATTATAAATACATAAACACATACATATACCCTAAATATTACAGCCACCTTTAACTTGATGGATAATTGTGATTATTTCCTGAGTAAATTCTCTTGATGGGTCGTTTTCAACATTTTGTGTTACAGATTCCATGTGCTCAAACACCGGATGAAAATTTTCATTTTTCCTGCCAACAGCAACCAGATCATGTGACATCTGTCGCTCTGTAGTATGACTAGAAGTAATCCTAAAATAAAAATTTGCAGAAATTCACTTTAAAAGAATTCACTATATCTGAAAACTTCAAATAGATGAGCAGAACAAAACAATAAATTAAGAAGTTCATTTTAGGAATAAATGTGATGAAACAGAAATCTCGTTTTGTTCCTTTTAATTAAAAAACTCCTAAGGCCATAAGGAAGAAAAGCTATAATAAAATACAAAGATATGACTACATTCTCAGGAATCCTTGTTTCAGTGAAGTATGTAATACAAAATTTGTGAATTTTAAAACTTAATTCATCTAGATTATCAAATAAAACAGGCAAACAAAAATCCTGATATACTACTTTAGTATAATTCTGGAATGCAATTATGCGTGTGTCTTTGTTTACAAGGAACAACCAGACAATTTTCAAGAACAGTTCAGAGATGTAAAAAATTCCATGGCATCTTTGGGAACTGAATCATCACTTGAGCCTAGTGAAACAGCCTTCCAGTGGCAGTGTGTGAACTTAAGAACATGTTTAGCAGCCTTCTGTCAAATTTTATTCATTCTAAGTAAGTTTACGCCCCAAATGGCTGCATTGGTGCTTAAGACTTATTTTGACAAGGAAGGTAACACTTCAAAAATCCTGCTGTTCTTGTTGCAAGGAAAATGCTTGTCCTTCAGAAAGATAAATAGAGGACTCAAACAGCCCATGTAAAAGCTTTTAGGATAAAGCCTCTGTTTACTGTGCATTCTGCAAAGTGATTATGTGCCTGCCCATCCTGTATTTGAAGCATACAAAACTATAATTTCATACAAAAACTGTATGAGAATTAGCCTCTAGTAGGTGCCAGAAGTCATCTATTTGCCCCCAGTAAGCTGGAAATAAATGCATGCAAGAGGGAATCCAAACAATCTCAACTGTAGATGATTTGAATTATCTACCTGCTCCCCAGGTTTATAAAGAAAGTATTCTTCTCAGCAGAGTCATTTCAAGTCAGGTGTTTGTTAAATGCCTAAAGTAGGCAGCATGAATATTCCCAGTCATCAGCTTCTGCAAAATTAGTGTTCTCATCTTTAAAAAAATAAAATATTTAGCACTTTTGGCTGTGGAAGCAAGCCTTCCACACATGAAATTAGCTGTAATCCATGTAGTAGTTTCTTCAGTCTGCAAATAATTACCATGTCCATTGTGCATGACTTTCAAAAACAGCAGCAAGAGGCTACTAGATACAGGAATCATTCTGTGGGATTGCAACAAAACCCAACAATAATTATTTTCCTTACATTATCATTCAGGAAGTTACATGCTTGTCCTAGCCGGGGCAGGGGGGATTACTCCACTGCCCTTTCCTCAGTCTTTAATGTTAGCCCCTTATGTGCAGACAATACCTTGTCTTTGTAACTCTCCATTGTATTACGTGTTTCTGAAATATTGGAAAGGGAAGAAAATTGATATAGATGTTTTATTTGGGACAAGAGGCAAAATACCTTTAAAATGAAGGCTGATCATTTTGGAAGGGAAGGTAATCCCTTCCAAAAGGGATTACTGCCATTATATGACATTCTTGCCTGCAACAGCAAGCCAACAAACCAGAAAGCCTGCAAAAATCTACACAAACCAAGCTGCTTACTCTCTACCATGTATCCATCATCTAGATTTTCATAATATTACCACTTTTTTCCAATTCAGCAGACACTGGGAATGCTAAAGGCAACCACAAGCATTACACAGAAGATAGACAGAAGCAGACTCTACTGCTTTTCAGTTCTGATGCCTCAACAGATTGACACTTCATTTGTTACAACAATGAATAACATAATCCAGGGATCTCTAATTTTTCGACAGCTTTATTGAACTTGAGATATTGAACATCTGAACGTGTGTCTGAGATTTATATAATTTAAAGGTTATCTGATTTTTAGAAGAAATGAGGGATGACTCAGTCAGAAAAATGCCATCATATTTCAAAAGAAAGTACAGGACTAGGCTTTTCTGCTTTTGGTTTGGTTTTTTTTTTTTTAAATAAAAGTAACACATTTACTTATGATAAGCAGCTTTTAACTACAGGTTTGTATCAGGCATATCTGCTCTTTCTACTTCCTACTACATCTCCAGGAAATTAACTGGGGGGGGGGATTGATTGTTTTTTAATAGAAGTAGGCTGTAAATTTCCAGTCCAGGCAAGTTAACATTTTAAATGAAATAAAATTAAAAAGGTACAACCTTAGTTTGTCCTGGTTACCACTTAAAGAAACCATGCTTTCCTCCAATATTCATAAACTGTAAAGAGACAGGAAGAAAGAATAAGAGGTGAGGGGAAACCAGTACCTGTACTTGGTCACCATTTTCTTCATATCCACTTTGATTGTGAGACGTTCCCTCCTACAGTTGACATCTGACATTTTCACATCTGAAACAGTATGACTTGAATCATGCTGGCTATCGGAGGAATCTACTTTTTTCCTGAATTCCCCTTCTTTCCTTACTCTTTCCTTCGGTTTGTTTTTAAAAGATCTCAGATCAACATCCATTTTGGAAGAGTTAATACAAGCATCGCAGCCCTTCTTTGAACTATATTTAACAGGTACTTCGACATGTCCTTCTTCAGTCCATCTCGCTCTTCCACCACTAAAGTAATCTAACTCTTTGCTGTTCCGGGCACCCTTAGAAGAACCGTATTTCTGGTCTTCCTGCTTCACATACTTCTGAGCTCTATCATCTGAAAAAGCCTTTTCCCCATCCGGATGCCTGCGTCGTTTGTGACTGTACTCATAGGCTATCTTTGTGACAAAACCCTCCGAGTACTCCCTTTCAGCCGATCGGTGGGACTGGGCACCCAGATTTCTTTGCTCCTCCTTTTCTTGGTAGGGTGGAAAAGAACGTTCTTGCTTCCACTTGGAATTTCTTGCTACTTCTCCACCGTCATACCTCTCCATTTCTTTAGCCCTTTTAGACGTGTGCCCATATTCTCTGTAATCGTGATCTTCAGGATACCTGTGTTGACATAAAGCAATTTACACTTGCACTAGAGAAGAAAGCGAGAACTTATATGTGCAGAATGTTGGACAGCAGAATGCGTGGCAAGTTAACCCACAATCCCTCACGCCAAGGTACAGATGTGCAGGGGCTCTTAAGAGGGAAATATTATCCTTTCATACTCTAGCCATCAATACGATTTACTTAAAAGACAAATACTTCACTACTACCAGTCGCCCATAATTAAAACTACAAAGTGGCCAACGTGTTTCAAGGTGGATATCTTCAACTATAATGAAAACAGACTTTCACTTGAGGCTTTACACCACAATACCCAGGTTTTAATTATTTTATTCCTATACCTCTTCTGTAAAGAGCTCCTTGCCGTAAATTCATCAGAAACTCTTCTGGGTGACTGACCGTACTTCTCTTCATGTAACCTCTGGTGCCTCAAGTCATCTTCATGCCATTTTCTTTCAAGTTTACATGAAGCCCCTAACGGTCTATGAAAAGGTTTCATTCCTTTTTCATTTCCAGTGACTTTGTAGTGCTCAAACATGTATCTTTCTTCCATTTTGTGTTGGTAAAACGGACGATCATGCTCTTTATATGGTATTTCCGAGTATTTTGGTGGTAACTGGCATCTCCTATTGCTTTCAGTTCTTTCAGATGAATGTGTTCTATAGGGCTTATGACTGTAAGTATCTTCCATGGGAATTCTTTTCAGGTTTGGTGAAGGTGATCTACGTTCATATATTCTCTGGTGGTTATTTCCATGAGGTGCAAACCTGGAATTGCTTTGTCCGTATTTTTCATCTTCTGTTCTCCAAGGCATAGGTTTCTTTGGGTCCTTACGAAAGCTTTTATATTCACAGTCATAATTAATATGAGCATGCCTTTGCCTATGGTGCTCTGGACTCCTAAATGTCGGAGATAAGGACCTAAGGCAAAAATAAAATCCACTTTGAGTAGTCCCATAAAATTAAATCAACCTCTTAATGAGAACATCTATTCCCTAAGGAAGTATAGTTTAGTACACAGTTTTAATCAACTGGTAAAAAAATTAAAAAACAAGCCAAGATATTCAAAGTAACATTTGCCTGGCTAGAGTATCAAGCTTACTTTTACTTTGTTGAAAGTTTTCACAGTAAGAATACCCACTCAAAATACTAGTAAGTCAATCATTTTTCTCTTTGAATTTTTTCATTTAAAACTAAAAATAATTTCATATATATGAAGTTTCCACTACATTGAAAACAACTGTTATACACATTTTCACACTTCTCAAGCATTCCCTATCTTTTTCAGTGCCAAGAGAAAAAAGGGGAAGGAAAAAAGCATATAAAGAACTACTAAAAAAAAAAAAGAAAAAGCCTTTTCAGGTTTTCTTTGCATGTCAAAACCACCCCAAAAACGGATTGAAAACATTATAAAATATCCTATTTAAAATGCCACACAGGTAGGCTTTTTCCTACAGAACAGACCGAGTTTGAAAAAGATGTTTTTGTCTTTTTCTAAAATTATGTGTACATGTATACATATGCACTTCCACACTTATTGCAGCTTTTGCTATTAAAGCATTCATTTGCTAAGATCCACTCAATTGCATCACTCTCAGCTTTGCATTTTCACCTAGTTACAAAAATGAAAGCAACCTGTTAAGAGTTCTTTCAGACAAAATCTCCTAAATAAAAAACAGCACAAGCCACTAGCAAGAACCAGCAAGTAATCCCAGACATAACAGTTCTGCTTGTATTCCAGTATTCACAGTACACTCTCGATACATTCTTTAATAAAAACATAGAAAAATGTAAGTTGAAAAAATTCAAGGAAGTAACTTCCTTTGTACACATATTGTAAATGTACAATTTGGCATAACTATTAGCTCCATTTCTGCAAATGAGTTCAAACTCAGAATGACAGATCTTCATAAAATTATAATGGCTAACTTCCAATAGCATCCATGCTGCTGCTGCCGCCCCATGATGTTCTAGTTAAGGCTTGCATTTTAATGAGAGCTGGGGCATTCCTCCCTGCCCTTCACTCAAAGGACATTCACAGCTATCACTTTACTATGGAAGTAGATAGGATTTCTCTCTTGAAAAACAAACAAACAAAAGCCCACACACATTTTTCTGTGTTATCCAACAAACTCCCTTGGTCTTGGTCATCACAACTTTTCTGTTTAGAAAAACAACCCAAAACCAGCAGAAAAGTAGTTTCAGGCTCTTGAAAGCTTAAAATTGGATTCCAGCCTCCTAGTTTTAACACTTCAAATCTGTATTGCAAGTCCTAAAAATTAGGCAGGTAACTAACAGCGTGAAGTAACCTGGATGTTATTCTGGTGACAAACATCAATGACACATGCTACTAGGCTAGTGTCCAAAAAGAGCAGCACTGACTCCCATGTTTTCAGTTCGCGTTATGCTGTAAGGCATATCTAACTGTGCTAAAGATCAATTTGCGGATCAGCCCCAACAGCTCAGAAAGCCTGAGGTGTTTGAACTAAGTATTTTAACAGTTGATCTGGCCCTCCCTGTAGACCAAGAGGCAAAACAGGAGTGAGTTACAGACATTAAGTGCACCAGGTGGTGCTTGAGTAAAAATAACCTTAACTAGTTTGGTGCTTGGATTTTGTGCTCAAGGTAGTTCCAAGTCCCGAAACATGCAAGTTGAACAGGGTTCTTGGCAGACAGCAAAAACTTAACACCTCCAGCTTAAAAAAAAAAATATCATAATAATGAAATTGCAAGTTGGGAAAAAATTGCAGAAGGTGTTCAGTTTGGAAAACAAATTATAATTTATAAAATACACTTTACAAATTGCAATTCTGGATGTAATTTTCTTTCTTTCATGCAAGTTTTAAGTCCTAATTATAAATCCTTATATAGAGCTACATTTCAGAACACAAGTTATAGATAAATATTTACCTTGGTTTCCATCGTGGTGATCTTGATCTAGATCTTGTCATCTTCTCTCACGTGTTTATATGAGTTTCTTAAAGCTGTAAAAATGATACAGTTTACTAGTCTGATAATAGAATCACACTACAAATTGCAACAGGGACAGTTGTTTTTAACAAGGGTAGTATTAGATGCTTCAAGGTTGGGGTGAGGCATATTTTTTAGGATATTTTACATCTACCGCTAATTCCCATTGTAAGGCAAGTAACTTTTTTCCTAATTGATGATCTTAGAACACAGCTTATTTTCTTTATAAAGATTGAAATGTTTGACCATTGCTCCCTTTTTCTCTCCATTTTGTAAAGCTGCCTATTCACTGTTTTTAAATGTTAATAATCTCAAGCAAGCTGCAGCGACTGAAAAAAGTGCTGTTAATTGTTAGTATGTATTGAATACTATAGATGATAGAGAGGGGAGGGATAGCCAGCTTTAAAAATCAAGCTTACGAAGAAAAATGCTTTTGTATAAAGTTATATTCTGAACTTCATATATACCGAACTTCAAATTTGTAATGTACACTGATATTTTTACATGGTTACAGACCTCCTGTAAGCTTTAACTGCTCCATCAAGTCTTAACTGCTGTATCATCCAAATAAAACCATGTACAAAAGATCACTTCTCATTTTTATACTTAACTTGTTAAGAACCTACTACCTAGACACACATTTAAATATACTATGGATGCACTGTGACAGAAAGCACTGCTCTCAAATCCTGGAAGTAGCTCTGGGCATCCCTTCTCATAAAAGCTATGGAAGAATGAGAAAAATATCAGTGGAATCTACCCTTCTTGCTCCTCTTTGCAAAAAGATACTAGAAACTTGGAAAACAAGTGATGGAAGGATATACAAACTCACCAGTAACGTGACTGGTGAATAGGAATGGAATGATTATTCATTATTCAGCAAACACAAGGATTAAAGCAGAGTGAAATTATCAGGTAACTGGTTAAAAGTTGGAATTTGGACCACATAACCCTGCCTACAGCTCCTAATTACCACAAGATGCTGTAAAGGCCAGAAATATAAATAGATCCAAAACCAGATCCATCAACAGCTCTGAAATTAATGAACAAACAGTCACTTGAAACTGGAAGAATATGCCCTGGTCAATGTTACTCTATACGTGCTCTGGTATTTTCTGTAAGTATTTGCTCAGAGACACTCATGGAGACATAAAACTAGTCTGGACTGGCCAAGTATGGCCTTTTTGACACTCCCAGTGCTCTAATCATTTCTTTAACTAAATCTTTTACCTGACCAACTAAAATTGAAAGGGGAGAAAACAACAGCAAACTTTAAGGCATGTAAGAAACCTGGAGAAGTAGTGTGCACCCACATGCCTGACCCAGTGCCTCGCTCCCCCCTGCCCCCAGTCACACTAATTGGTCAAATAAAATACTACCCCTTGCTACATCTGATTTTTTGTATGATTAGCTCATGGCTAAAACAGCAGTATCTTAGAGGAGAACGTACAGCATACTTCTGATGCCTACCACCACAGGTGGACATTAGACAAGCCATCTACTACATTTCAGAATGATTCTGGAAACATTCACTTCCTGCTCATTAAGCTGCACCATAAGCTAACCGGACAATTATTTGCAAGACATAGCAATAGCTTAGTTCTGGAGAAAACCCTCCTGAATTTATTTTTTAAAATCTCAAAAGTCTCCTGTTTACCATGAGAGTATTTGCTCTGCAATGAATCTTTCCATGTGACGAGGCATGAAGTTGCAAGAAGTGTTGCAAAGGATAGTGAAGCAAAAAAAACCCCGAACAACCCCGAAGTACCCCAAAGACAACGTATAGTCTTTGTTCCCTGAACTTTCAAATATGAAGTTAGCATTGCCTCTTAGATCCTAAATGCATATGTCTGAGGACTGCATAGCATGAATTAACTTCAGGCCCTTTGCTTACTCGAAGATCATACTAGCCAAAGTTAAATATGATGCTCCAATGGCAGTACTCATATTAAATATTATTTTTCAAATAAAAGCAATATGGTGACCAAAATACTTTCCTATTTTTCACCCATAAAAACACACCTTACCAAACTGAACAGTATTTCAGAAACAAAAAACCACACCCATGGCTAACATTTCAAAGAGGTGCATGTCCCACAAGCTTCAAATATTCACTACTACCCTCTCTTCTTGTAAACTTTAAAAAGTGACAGTTTTATATGCCATTCAAATTCTTTCCATCTTCCCTTCAGTTCTGAACTTTATCCTTCATTTTCAAGTGATTATGTAAACACCAAAAAGACAAAAGTACCATTAAACCCCACCCAACCATCGTACAGAACCTGATCTGCCAGGATCTCTCATCACAGACCCATCAAGCTAGAAACTGAACATACATAACGAGAGATTCCTTATTCTTTCAAGACTGGCTAAACAATCGTACTAAAAGCGTGAGAAGGATTGCGACAGCATGTCCTAGATCTTGCCTTAGGATAAAGATACTACTGTATTTTCTACTGTAATTTCCAATTAAGACACTCCTTTTTTTTTAGTGGAAATAAAGTGTTCATTTGTTTCAATGTGCCTCCTAAAAAGTGACCCACGCAAATGACTTCCTCACAGCGAGATTCAAGATGCAATACGCAGCATACGAAGGCAGCAGACACTCGACCCCAATCAAGACTCCCAGTGTAACACCAGAATCACAAATTAATCTATACAGAATTTGTAAGCACATTGCTAAATTCACGTTTAAATCATCTCACCTAGACTAGTAATATGGTTCCATACCAAAAAGTAAGCTTTATGTAGGATGGTCCTGGGTAGCAAGCCTGTCTATAGCAGAATTACTTGAATCAAGTGAAGGCCCTACGGTTCCCAAGTCAGCCATCCAGGTGCTTCTGAAAGGCCAGGTCATGTTGGAGCAGAGGTGCCAGGACCTGCTATGCTCTGGGTTCTGAATTTCGCCAAGTCCCCCGGCTTTATTTTATGGGATGCTATCACTATGAAAACATGAAGAATTTCACCCCCCCCCCCCCCCCCCCCGCCCCCCACCTTCCCCCCCCCCTCCTCTTTTCTCTTTCTTTCGTCTTTGCATTTGTTGTGTTACAACAATAAATGACTCACTGGAGGAGTTATCAGTAACTGTGCTTAGATAGTTTTTAAATATTAATGGGAACCCCACCTTTTATTTTCTTTTCCTTGACTTCTGGAATTGAAATCAGTCAACTTCCCTCTCAGGAGAAATGGCCTCAAGCCTGCTGCCAGCTCTCCTTTGATTCTACCCTTGAGAGATCAGTGCTTTGACAAGTACAAAATTCTTGTAGTATCTATCTACTACAAACCTGAAAGGAGTATCTTGAGAGAAGTAACTGGAAAATGACCAGAAATTGTATGGGATGTGCCAACCTGAACACACGTTCTTTCAGAAAGGCTATAAATTTTTAACAACTTGCTCTTCTGAACAGAACAATCTTCAGTCTCCTTGATTTTCTCCAGCATGAAATCAAGAAATCACAAATGACTGCGGTCGTCTAGCTGAATGGAAGGGAACTGGAGCTCTTCCTAATGCAAAGAGCCCCACACCAGCAAGCCCCAACCAGCTAAAACCTTGCAGATAGAGCACAGACTGGGTAGAAGTAGTTAACTCTCCTGTAAGCAGACCATAAATACGTGGACTGCTTTACATGCCTTTTGGGTGCCCTCCATCATCCACAACAGATGATGGAAGAAACCCTATGCAGGACACGCAAAGGGCAGGTCAATAGTAGTAGTGCTCACCATCAAAGAGCTGCTCTTCAACTGCCATTTCACCTGTAGTGAAGGGAGATGTCATTCCTCACCCCTTTGTAAGGGATTGCCCAACCGCCATTGCCACTGCCTCCCAAATCTTTCAGAGGAGGAAGGGATAAGCACGTCTCTCATAGGCTGGGTCACACAGCAGACAGGGAGACAGACACCGACCCTCTCTGCAAAAACTACCCAGCTCACTATTCTCTCACTTTGCCCAAAAAGATAAGGAGCATCTGCAAGCTTTTCATTTGACTGCCTTGTAGGCAGGGATCAACTGAAAGCTGCGAGGGACACACCAAAGCGTGTGTTGCTGCAGCGTCTGTCAAGAAAGAGAAACCAGGAATTGACAGTCTCAACACTAAGATAGCCAAGTATTTGACAGAAATACAATCAAATTAAAAGCTCAGCTGCAATCCAGACTAAAAAAAAAAAGTAAAGATCTTGAAGCCTGTAATACAGAAAGCCATTTATCCTATCCTCAAATGAAAAGTATAGAACTGGCAACTTTTGTACTAGATAAGTTATAATAGCCAATTCAAAGGCTGTCCCGCACAGCTCCCACCCCAGCCATTGTCCAAGCAGGACACAAAGCCTAGCATGTTCTTGCCCATTCAGCTTCCAGGCAAATCTTATCACCTCCAACAGCAAATGCCCAGGAAAGAACGTAAGAACAGAGAAACACCTCCCAGCAAACCAGCCTGAACATTTCTGAACCTGCAACAGGACTTCACATCCCCTTCAGCCCTTCTCAGACTGGCTTGGGTACCATCACCACAGGCAGAGGCTCCCAGTGCTGCGCTAGGCCATGCATGCACCCATTTATCCCCGATTTTTCTACTAAACACCTTCAACCTCAAAACCACAGCTCCCAATTGGCACCTTCATCCACCATCCCCAACCCTGCAGGGGCTGGAAGAAGGATGTCACGACGTGTGCAGTGCAACCCTGCCCCATGCTCCAGCATTGCTGCCCCAGCACTAGAGAGGTGCCCAGAGCAGAGTTACAGCTCCGCCAGCCCATGGAAGTGACTCCGAACTCAATACACATCGCCTCAGGGCAGGACATATGTGACAGGTTTGAAAACTATGAGCTAGAACAGCTGTTTAACTGAAGGACACACACACCCTGGCTAAGGCAAATGAAACTCCACTGAGGGATTTCTAAACCATTCACTCTTCTAGACAACACAGCAGGTAATGGATCAATGCAAATGACCAAGATCCAAATTTCCATCCTCAGTTTCCTCACGGCTCCCCGATATTCAGTGAGTGCTCTTTTTGATT